AAGTTAACCGCGCGAATTGTTGCTAGTGTATCATTAAAGTATAATAAAAAAAATAATTGTTAGAGAAAATATTTGCAAGATGGAAAAAATGAAAAGATTGGCACTATTTGCAAAAGGGAAAAATTTTAATACTCGCATTTTTCGTGACTCTGTAAGAAAAGAGAGTAAAAATAAGGATGAAAAATTTTTCACGCATATTATAGGCGTTCTGCTAAGGCCAAGATATGAATGGTAGTCTATGTAAGGTCGTAAGTCACTTGGACTCTCGTAGATTTCAAGTAGACGAAGAGCTGGTATTTCTTCTCGTAATTTTGCCACGGGGAGAATGAAATTTTCCTGGGCATTCCAGTTTTGCGACAGCCAAAAGAGAGAAAGAGAGAGAGATAGGGTTGAACAAAAAGAAAATGAGGAACGAGATGAAGAAGTAGTGGGTAAAATAAATTCTGGTATGAGTAACATTGTAAAAGTGGAAGGGGAAAAATAGTGAGCTGAGTATTTCGAGACTGATATATTCTTGTGAGTTGTATATATATATATATATGAAAAGATTTGCATAGAAACGGGTACTTGGTTCTGGTCAGAATTTCACTGGAACACTTGGGTTGCTTGGGTGGACAGCTGACAACTCATGACACTAGTATTAAAATTTTGCGGTAATCCCTTTGGATCGTTTAGAAAATCTGACATTTGCTAAACTTAAATTTCAGCATTTTATGAATAAGAAAATTTTCATAGTAAAAGATTCTTCGAGTTAAATCAGCGTGACTCGTAAATTTTATCCCGGGAAAAGCTTACTGATTACGAGCTTACGTTTGTCTACTTTTCGTGAAATATTCTCTCTTTCTCTCTCTCTCTCTCTCACACCCTTCCCTTCTTTCTCTATCTGCAAAACACAGAATTTGTAAAATATTTTCATCTAACCAAAATTATAGCTATTATAAATGTTTTATGCTCATTACAACTGGGAAATAGACCAATTTTTTAAATAACAGCAGTTCTTTCTTTAAATCTAGAGAGAGAGAAAGAACATTGTGAGTTATAGTCCCTACTTTCTAATTTTCGAAATCAAAATTAAGAAAAATTGGGTCACTTTTAGTAGTCTAAAATAGCGCCTTTTAAAAAATCTTTTAAGAAAGAAACATTTTAACTTCAAAAAAGATACGATGGATCTCTGAATGAGATGATAAAAAAATTGCATCTATTTGCAATTATACGAATAGAGACAAGGGTTAATAAAAATTTTTACTATTTGAATAGAACCGTTCTGTTTTCTTTTATCAATAATTGCATCTGAAACTGAAAGAAAAAAATTTACAGATACACTCTGCCATTCACATAAACCCCACATTTGTCAATCGATAATTCTTTCACCGTTATCTAAAAAGTATAAAAACAGTGAATATATACTTAGGTACAATTCAGTTTTGCTGCCAAATTACCTATATCCTACTCCATTGCATCCAAAAATAGAAAAGTCCGCTTGAAAATATGTTTACTACTTACCTTTTTTTACCCAATTTCTTTTCGAATATCCCCTTGCTGCTGCATCTAAAATAGAGAAAAGAAATGCTATAAATACGCATTACCTTTCTCTAGAACAAAAATAGTTTTGTTCGACAATAATTTTCAGAAAAAGAGGAATAAGAAAAAAATTGTCAAATAACTTTCCTGAAAATTGAACTAGTTGGATAAATAGTTTAAATTTAAATGTTAAACTATTAGGATTTATTGTTTAATTTTAAAATTAAATAAATTTATTTAGTACTATTTTGTTGTAATAAAATTAAAATAAATTTCGTTTACATTTTAAAGAGATTAAAGTAAAATTAATTCGCAAATCACGAGCAATCTAGAGTAACTGGTGTGTGGCATCAGGAAACCCTTCAAAGACCCAACCCTGAACAGTGTACATAGGACGCTTGTGGTTAATGGTCAGGATCGTTTAATGTTGCCGCGATTACTATTTCAACCGCAACTTCCTCGCAATTTAATCATTTTCTAATCTCAAGTAGAGAACGAGACAATTTTTTTTGGTCTCCAATGAAGAGATGATACAATGGAAAACTTTTTAAATGATTCAATTGAGAAAATCAAAAACTTTTGTCGAGAAAAGTTCATAGCATTTATATTTTCGTATTCATATTCTGAATTTTTTCCATCCTAATATAGTCTCTAATTGACATTACGACATTATTGTGTTCTAATTAATTTGTCAGGAAGAGTAAGTCTAAACCAATTTAAATTATACCAAAAAGACATAAGATTTTAATACGGAAGGTTGTTAGGAAGAGTCAGTCTAAACCAATTTGTATGACGCTAAAAAAGCATAAAATCTCTAATTCATATAATTTAATGTTAAGTTAACCAAAAAAATTTAGATTAGAAGAGTTTGGCTAAATAAATTACGATAGAACAGAAAGTGTATTAAAGTTGTGATTAATTTGGATGAAACAAAAAAATATAGTCTTATTGTTAGACTTAGGAAATTTTCATAGTCAGCATAAACCGATGAATTCGCGCATCTGTAACATTTTTTCTTGTAATTTTTGGAAAAGATTTTATTCAGTTCCCTCAATCACTTTTTTCCAATCTTCTGAAAATTAAGACTAAAAACCGCATTGTTGGGATTGAAAGTCGGTCAATTATGGAAGATTATAATTAATTAAGGATCCATTTAACGATAATGGAATTTTTATTCAATCATCCGGACAACTTTGATCCTCAAGAGTTTTTCAATTCATTTCAGTCAATATGAGTATAAAAAGTCTTGATCTCTGAGCACAATACGAGGCGTCGTCGTCTATAGACTTGAGTTTCTGAATAGATGAAGTGAACTGGTGCGCGGCAGTAGCAGGAGGAAGGCCTTCAACAGGGCAATTTAATCTTCCATCAATTCTCATAATTAACCAGCAACAATGGCAACTTTTATCGAATATCAAAATGAATTGCGGTCCATCTACGTGACCAAGTTTGCTTTAATTAAAAAAGTTTTTCTTTTTTACTCATTTCTCTATACTTTTAAAAGTCAAATCATTTCTCCTGCTACTATTCTACTTACCACTTCTACTATTTTAGTCGATTTTTAATTTTGAACAATTTGTAACTGTGGACGATTTCTAATTTTGTGGAAGCAATTTTTGATCAAATTAGAATTGTAAATAATTTCTAATTTTTATAAATTTTGATTTCTGAACGATTTCTAATTCTGTTATCAAGTGAACAATATTAATATTCTCATATTTTATTCAGTTGAAATAAACTTGCAGAGATGTATAATTATTACAGAGGGGGACACTAAAGGTTTCGATAGTTAAAAATTAAAGTTTAAACGTCGCCAGAGAAACTTGTTTCAGCAAAACGATACACGCGTCTCGTTGAACCGGATGCAACAGCTTGCCTCACCTCGGCAACCCAAGTATCCCATCCGTACTTCCACTTTAATATGTTTCGCGATCCGTGAATTAATATTTAAACATAGTTACGTTAATCCACCATTTATTCCAAAAAAACGAATTATATTACTTTAGGTTCTTCACGTTCCATTTCAATTCAGTCGAGAAATATATTTCATTCTGGAATTTTCATTAAAAACTTTGCTAATTGCTTTCAGCATTTCAAAATATTTTCTCCACTCGTTAAATAATTTAACGTACATTAAGGGTTTATATATTTAATAAGTTACAAAAATATTAAATGAAAACTAATAAATAGTAAATAAAAAATTAAGAAATTTGTTCCAGTTAATTTGTTAGGAAGAGTCAGTCTAAACCAATTTAAATAAAACCAAAAACAAACATCAGATTCCTAAAAGATCAGTTTGTCAGGAAGATTCAGTCTAAACCGATTTGAATAATGCTATAAAATAGAAATTAATAAATAAGAAACTACGACTAGAAAATAATTAATAAAGAATAATAAATAGAATAATATATGTAGAAAGTAATGAGTGGAGAATAATAAATAAAAAATTATAAATAGAAAAAGTAGAAATAAATAAAAAAATTAAAATATATTGAGTTTAAAAATATCCGTAGTTTAAAATCAATACAGTTTTTTCTTTCAATACTTTCTATTCATGTACATGTATATATATATATATATATAGAGAGAGAGAGAGTTATCTACTAGCTTCATTCAATCGTTTGGCCTCTGTCTATCATAAAGGTAAATTGTCAGTGACAGAATATAGTTTTCCTATGATAGCGCGCAAGTTTGCAAATGTCAATAATATACTCCATACCTGTGATAGAAGACGGCAAACGCTCCAATGTACAAAAATTTATCAAATTGAAAACTTTAGTAATGTACAATGTAGGCTTAAAAATTAAAATTTATATCCATCCATTCAATTGTCAATAAAACGCATGCCTCTCTCTACAAAATAGAGAAATGAAAGGAAAAGAATTCAATTAAACTTTTTAATAAAAACGACATTCTTCATTTTTTAATTACAAAGTCTTTTCATTTTATTTAATTACATTCGATATTTATTTAATTCAATATTTGATAAAATTGTTATCATTTTATATAAAATTTCATTAGAAGAATTCCATAGAATTTTTATGTGAATTCTAGAAAATGTTAGGCAGGAATTTACAGAACAATTTTTTTTACTGATTTTAATTAGTTATTTATTATTATTTAAATTTTTCTCTTTTTTAATTTTAGAACAATATACTTATTTAAATGTCCTCTCAGATGTCATGAAAATTCTCTCATAAACAAAATGAAGCGAACAAAGTATAACATTGTCTAAATAATTTAAATGAAACTAAAGGAACATCAGATTCCATAAAGGTCAGTTTGTTAGGATAAGTCAGTCTAAACCATGTTAGAGGAAACAAATGAAGTACCAAATATCTAACACTATTTTTGTTGCCATTACTATTTTATTGTCTTTTTATGTTATAAATACTAATTAATAATAAATAATTAATGGAAAATATATGAGACAACAATTATTATCAAAGCTTATTAAAAATATCGATTTTATGTTACAGAATGAAAATAGAGCATTAAGATTAAAGGAACCGGGATCACTGGTACTTTCGAGTGGAAATTCCAATGGTTACATGGACGCAGATGGAACGGCCATCGTCATGTCCTCTGAACTTTTGCCTGCTCCTAGTCCAGATCCCCAAGTAACGTGGAATTATTTCGACGAGCAGGGGTGAGTTTAATACGACTTGGGAATTAGTTATAACGAGCTGCTATCATGAAACTGGCATAGTTTACTATTCCGCAATATTCTACTTTCAAAATTATATTTTCACCGCAACGAATATTTCAATTCATTTGATAGTTATTTCATTAGGTATTTAAAGTATAAATTCTTTTCATTTAATCCATTAATAACAAATATTTAACTATATACTTTAACCATTTTTTTTTCTTCTTCAATATTTCCAATTTTTTCCAATAAAAAAATTAATAATTATAATAGTTATAAAACTTTTTTCCCTTTATTATAATTTTTGAATTCGAAATTAAATTTTTTTTTGCTTACACAATATTGAATAGTATCAATATGTAAAATTTTTCTTCATAGAAAATTTTGCAGATTTTCCATATTTAAATTATTTTTCCTCAGGTACGTCTCAAGGGGTGGTTTGAGAGTTGGAGAGGACCCTTATGCAAGAAATAAATTTAATCAAGAAGCCTCGGATAGTCTATCTAGTAATCGAGGGATTCCTGACACTCGCAGTCCAATGTAAGTACCATTTATTTAAAAAGCGACTCTCTGCATTATTTTTTTGAACAATCGATGATGACAAGGAAATTTGCCAGAAATGTCAAATATAATTTATTCGTTATTATAAAAAAAAGAAAAAATCGATGGTGTTTAAATTAGTTAGCATTGAATTAATTTGATAATATTGAGATTGTATTAAAATTATCCACAACATTTTTTTTTGCAATTAGATCGAAAATTTAAAGGATTTTTTCAACAGTAGTTCTCAGTTCCCCTTTAGAAGAAAGTAGAAGACTGTTGAGCAGGAGATTTGCCAATGTGCAGACAGGGAGATAATCATTACCGTCTCTCCAATTGCCATTAAAACATTAATTTGTTAGGAAGAATAAGTCTAAACCAAGTTAAAAAATATAAAAAACATGATTTTTAATAGATAAGTTTGTCAGGAGAAATCATAAACAAAAAAAAGAATTTAAGTCCTGATTTTTTAAAATAAAACCGAGAAAATACTAGATCACAGCAGAAAAGTTATATAATGACAAAATAAAAATAAATAAAGTATGTGAAATAAATAAATAAAAGTTAATACAATAAATCAAAAAATAAATTAACAAAAAAGACTGTCTATCGGTCGTCAATTCTTTTATATCGGTATCGGCAGTTTCGAAATGCTCTAGGGAACAATGATTCTTCTCAGATGATTGCCAAGATCACCGCCTACCGTAGGGAATTCATGATTTACTATGCCAAACGTTCCTGTATTAAAGTTTGGCAGAGTGCAATGAAAATACCTCGAGATTTAAATTTAACAGAAAGAATAAAAATGATGATAAAATTTAGTTCAAAAATGGAAGCATATTTCAGAAATAAAAAATATAACTTTATCGATACTTGAATTTTTATAGATATTTTTACTTGTTTATTTAGTTTTTATCCCAAACATCCAGAGATTGGAATTATTATATTAAAGAGACAAAATTCGAGTTAAAAAATTATAATATTAATTTTGTTCGATTCATATTCTTGTAGTCCGTTCTTGTAATTTCACTTTGACTTTATGTTGACTTCAAATTTAATATCAAGAAAATGAAAAATCTTTACATAATAATTACGCGTATAAAATGTAATGAAAAGATATATTTTGTTAGATTTAGAAAATCTTTTGAATAAAATTTTATTTTGTATACACTTTATGTCTAATGCTTTCAATGAAATTTTTTCACCAAAGCTTCAGTGGCACTTTTTCTCTATTTTCTTTCCACAAAAGCGAAGAATCAAATCCCATTTCCAATTCTAGTATATATACTATATCGTGGCGAGAGAAGATGGACAAAATAAAACTGAAGACAATTGACTTGGTGATTCTAGAAAGAAAAAAGTAGGAGTTAGAGAGCAGATAACAGTCAAGACTGCTGGACCCGCAAAACTTTGTGGTGGTAAGGGGGGGAAACATGAACGACAGTTTTACTCGACATGGGATGGGTGGATTTTACTTTCGCGAGGTCGCGTCGAGGAAATCCAGCGTGAAAACGGGAAATCACAGAAGCAATGGAATTGAGTTTTGCCAAGTTTAAGAGAGTCACACCTAATGGTATTGCCTGCCTGGAAATCCAGTGTCAAAGTAACATTCAACGTCCATAAAAATAACAATTGCGGATTCAAAAAAATTTTTTCCATCACAATAAAAATAGGTTAAAGTAGAAAAAAATAATAGAAATTTATGATAATAAAAATAATTACATAAAATATTTTTTTCTATGAAATTAATTTTAAAAAATTTACCACATGCATTTTATATAAAATTATTTTTATTATCGTTTTTAATTAACTTTAGTGTCTGCGTTGTGAATATTTTTTTTCCTTTTGTTTGTGCTTGAAACAAAGAAAAGAATTAAGCAGAAAGCTTAATTACTGGATTAAACGTACATGTTCATATTATCTGTTCCTTTTACGAAACAAAAGCTGAATACTCTCCAACGAGAAAAAAGATGATTAAAAATTTTTTTCCGTGCATTTACTTTATTTTTTTTGTTCTTATCAAACGCTAACATTTAGAATTTCAAATTTTATTTTCTCACTTAATGAAAGGAAAATATTTCCAATCGAAAGATGTTTTACATTGAAAGTAGATAAACTTTTAAATGGAAATAAAAGAAACAAAACAAGATTTTTTTCTCTGTGAAAAACAACTTAAAAGTTTTCTAGGTTGAACTCAAAAAGTAAAGCTGACGCTCAAATCGAGTTTCTTGAGAGTATTCGATATCTTTTCGCTGGTGTGTATATATCCTGACGGAAGCGGGTTATTAAAATGCTTCACGTGGTCTCAAAAGTCCCCTAGGGGTTCTGGGGAATGCCAGAGGATACTGAATGCAATCCAGTGCCATGTGGCAGAGCGCAGTCTTTCCGTTGCATTAAACATACGAAAGGGAGCTTTGCTGCAAGAAAAATTGAGATTAAGGCAATACGAAAGCTTCTCAAACTTATTTGTAGACTGAATTCGAACAAGAAATTGAGAAAATTGAACTGCACTGGATTTTATTTAATGATTTATTTTATTTGCGGATTATCAAGAAATAAGAAATTTTTAATAAAGGTTTCGGTTTGATGATTTGGTTTGTTCTGAGAATCTAAAAAATGGATTGAAGGGAAAAAATGATGAGTCACTGATTTGAATTGATCAAATATTTATTTAAAATTCTCTCTAAAGGTTGTCTGACTTCTTCGGTAGTCTACGGAAAATGAGAAAGAGGTTTGGAAACGTGACACATTTATACGAAGCGAGACAGGAAGAGAAGGGATAACTCCCGCCAGAAGCAAAATAGCCAATAGCGTCCTGACAGTTCCCCCTTTAGTCAACACATGTGAGGTGCGGAGAAGGAGAGGATGAAAGAGTCAGTCTTAACCAAGATTTTTAATAGATAAGCTTGTCAAGAAAAGTCAGCCTAAATGTTTGACAATGTAGAAAGAAACAGTTGATTTGTAATAAATAAATTAGACATCTACAAGCAGTCTATTAAAAAAAGAAGAGTATGAAGAAAAAATTAGAGTTCTAAGTTGTAACTAAAAAGTTTGTTAGAAAGAGTCAGTCTAAACCACTTTGAATATCACCAAAAAATAATATACCTCCAAATTAATTAAATAAGAAGACCAAAAATAACCTAGTTTCTACCTAAATTATATTTCAATGCGATAGTCAGTTTTCTCAAAATTAAAATTTTTTTCCATTCTTCAATAAATAGAATTCCATTACAGAAGAAAATGTTTTCAACTATAAAAATTTTCGATAAAGCAACCACCTTCCTAGTAATGGTGACTTTTCACTTGGAAAATCATATTTTTCTGATGGTATATTGTAAAGGAATAAAGAGTAGATTGACTTCTACAGATAAGCATCCTGTGATCAGTTCCCATTTTCCAAGTTGAGTCTTGATTACAATGAAATTGAATCAAATAGTGCAGAAAAGAAATGATCAATACCGATTCATCTCCTGATTTCTTTTTCTTTTTAATAATTTCCTCTTTTGTGGACAAAAAAAATTAATTTTTGCAAATCATTTTCTATCTTCCACTTCAGAGTTTACTATCAATTAATTAAAGAATAACTAACCCCTTAAAAATGTACACATTCTCGATTATAATTTTAATCCATTATGTATATAATCCTTTATGAATATAAACGTGAGATGCCTAAACAGTCTGAGATGGCCGTTCTTCACAGTTAGTTATGCAAATGCCGAATGTGTTGATATCACCAATATGAGTCAACAGGTTGTAGAAGATTGGATGCTTCAATTTATTGATTAGAGCTTAATTTTATTGGATGCTTATAGCCAATTAAGAAGAATATTCGATGAGAATATTTCACTACGAAAGTTTTATTTTCATTATTTAGTGGTTTATTTGAGGTTAAAATAACTTTATTTAATTATAGATTTCCAGAGTTATTATAAGTATTTCATTAAGCGAAATATTGAACACAGCAATGTGCGATTAATTAAATATTCATTTGAGGCAGTAATGAGAAATTTATTAATTAAAAATTAATACCTATATATTTACTCACAAAACTGGAGAGAAATGTTATTCTCTTTTTAGAATTTTCAACAAAAGGTTAATTATAGGACATTAATAATTAGAAAAAAGATTATTACTAAGGAGGTTTGAAACCATTCGAACATCGATTCATTAGATCATGTAATTGATGTCTGTGATAACTAACATGAGAATTGCGCAATGGCTGACTGGGTCAACCGGGATTTCCGGGTTCATGAAGGACTCTATTTCCGATGTTAAAGCAAATAGAGAATCCACCACACAGCGATGATTACTGAGAGAAAATTTTCCACTCCCGAGATATTTTGTTACAATTCCAGGGAATTAAAGGTGCAAAAAAACCCATTTTAACAAACTGTTTCTTATGGACTATATTGTGACCCCAGTTTTTAATTATAGAAAAGTAATTGTAGTAAACACAAGGTAAGGAAACAGTAATCAATTAATTTTCAAAAACTGCAAGACGTGAAATTATCAAGTTTGGGAAATTTACAGTTATTGTAGAAACTTGTCTGTATGTATTAAGTCCATTGATGAGTCGTTTCAAGAGATTAAGACCATCAGTGGTCTAACTAAACTTTATGTGAAACCTTAAACTGATACTTGAACGATAATTGAAGATGGTTCCAAAGTTTTGATTAGTCTGACGTAAGGGAGCTTAGAGGAGACTATAACCTTTAGCGCTTTAAGTATAGTTTACAGCTGACTTAACCTATATTTTTTAATAATTCTCTAAATCTAGAGTCAGACATTTCAGATATTGCGTAATTTTACTCTTGGAAATTTTTAATGATTTGGTTAGTCGACATCATGATCTGAGAGGTGATCTTGAATCATTAATAATAAATCATCGTAATTAATGATGATTTAAGTTAATAAAATTTTTATTTAAAGTGTCGATTAAGATTCCCAGACTTTTTCGGCAATCAGCGGATTAAGAGGAAGAAAATAATAAATCTGACGTA